TTACTATGCCTCATATAATAAAATATTCAAGCAACTTGTCAAGTCCTTTATTACAGGCGAATAAATCACCAAATAAAAGAAAGGGGAAAAAAGCTGTTATTGTAGGAATAATATACATTTATTGCACTTCGCATTTTTATAATGTTGGAACCAGACATCAGCACCATAATCAGAAATAATAAAAATGTACTGGGAATGGCGTTTTCTCATTTTCAAAGCCTTTTTACCTTCCATTTAGTTATTTTTGTAGAGATTAGTACATAAAGACTTTATTGCAATTTAAAAAATAAAGGTTTAAGCAAAAACACGAAATATATACACAATGTAACTTTTCAAGGAAAATGTCAATATATTATGTGAAACACAGAAACTTCATCCGGTTCTAAGAGCAGTTGGTAATGTAAAACAACATTTTTGCGAGATAATGATAGCTTTGCAACACAGAAACTTAAAAGCTTACTTTCTGAATGAATTCTATGTAATGAAGAGCACCATGTTTAAACTGAGTTCCACCACCAGGAAAAGTGAGGTATTCACCAGTAACTTTGACCCAGTTTTGATGACCCTTGTCTGCTACAAGCTTTGTGTGTGGAGCATTCTTGTACCATATCTGCAAGAGGCACCAAAATATTGAAGTTCATTGTTAAGTAACAAGATGTGGCTTTTCATCTAGTTTATATATTGCATACCATTTCTCTGCTTTTGGGCCACCTAATTGGGCTTCTATAGCCCTCGGGCAGAGAAACAAGACAAGTGGTAGCTTCATCAGGACAGTGTCTCTCGCGATGTTCATAGTGCCTTATGCTTCGAAGCCTTCTAATTGCTTGCCAATTGTCAAGGCAAGGAATATACTCTGACCCTGTGGTTGTATTACAAAGTTTCCAGTCATATCTTCTGCTGTCAATAGAAACTGAAGACTTCTGTGATTCCTTCTCATGTTGTGATTCTGCGGCTTGAGTTGACCAAGTTCCATTTTCAGCTGTAGTTTCAATCAAAGTTTCTGATGCTGTATCAGTAATAAAATCTTCTTTTGAAGCTTGACTATTTTCATGGCTATCTGTGTTACTCTCTCCAGAACTTTGTGTTGTCTCAGAATGCCTATTTATCTTTGTTTTCTCCTCCTCAGTCTCACCAACTATCTCATCTTTTTGGGTGACTTCACCCATACTCTTTTCTGTCCCTAATTTGTTATCATTTGCACTCTTGTCTGATTCGGTTTCATCTAAAGTTTCCATTGATTCTCTGAGCTCATCATTATGAATTTGACCATTCAAAGTTTCTGTTTCTGCAGATTCAGAATTTAAGGTTCCATCTGATTCTTTCTCCTTCTCGTCAGTGCTTGGCTTGACATTCCTCATCTGATCATTCTCCTCAGCATTATTCCCAGGACCGTTCTCCAAATCATTCTTTTCATCTGAGTTATCTCTAACAACCTCCTGGTTTTCTTCAGCCGCATTATCAGACACTTCTTCAACTTCCTTTTGTTCATCCTGGTTTTCTGCAAGACTATCGCTCTGAGATTTAACAGTCTGGTTATCTCTGTGTGTTGATTCTTCTGGTATATCACCGGATCTTTCTTCAAATTGATTGGAATCACTTTGTACATTTTTAGCATCATTAATGGTCTCAGAAACCTGAATGACTGAATTCTGAATTGGAACAATGGATGACATTACAATCCATACACCAACTAAACAAAATGCAACTAACACAGCTACAGAAACCGTTGAACAGTAGTTGGACAACTTCCTCCCCTCGCCTCGGGAATTCTTCCCCAGCACCATGTTTGCTAATTACTGCTATTTGAAGATAAATTCACCTAGAAAAGGGAGTAAAGTATATCGAATCCGTTAAAAAATCCTGTAACTCAACTCCATACTTATGCTTTCTTCCCTTTTATAAAAAAATATTCTTGGAAAATAACTTGCCTGGATATCTCCTTTACACAAATTGAAAGGAAAATCAAGTTGTAGCTCTAGTATTTTATTTAAATAAATCAGCACAAAAAAAGTATGAAACTCCAGAGGGCAACAAATGTTTTTCTGAATTTCCTATGTTGCGTCCCCAACACTCCAAAAACGGGTGAAGATATGCAATAACATACTCCGGGCTAGCAATTCATAGTTTCAGGGTATTAAGCTAAAGAACATGAAATAAGAAGCGAGAAATTCCCAAGTATCTACTGAATATTAGCGATCCAAACATGCTCAAGCCTTATAAATGGGTAATGTTTTATACTTATTCGTGTTTTTCTTTTTCTTTTTTCAAAACAAAATTAACCTTTCATGAGTAAAGAATAAACTTTTGTCAAGAAAAATCATAGCTAACAGTCCAACCAATGAAGGAACATTTCACTCGAGGATGCGAGTATATGAGCTGAAACTAACAGAATCTGGTGCAAGACCCAGAATACACCTTACGGGGAAACCATGAAGAAATCGAAAATCCTAAAAAAGCCTAAAACTATGAATAGTGAAAACCGAGATGAGGTTCCCACATAAGGGAAATGAAGATAACGGTTCAAGATAAAAGCAGTTAAGGCAAAGCATCCAGCTTTTAACTCACTTTCCCCAAAAAAACAGAACCCACATACGCACAATTCTTGGCATATTCTTCTGAAAAACAAGATCGTCAATACGCAGATGCAAGGTCCCTAGATCATACTCTAGAAGGAAAGGAAGCAAAATGTGAAAACAAGGAAAGGGTAGGGAGGGTTTAGAACTTTACCTTATTGGGTAGGAGAGATTCCTAGATCAGACTTTGCTCACATTCCTACAATGTCAGTTCTGAGGCGAAAGAATGTGAAGTCTCGGGGGAAGGACTTGTTTAGTTGCGCAGAGGAATGGGGAAAACTCGTTTAAGCTACAAATTCTAACACTGGAAACAGCCTCTCTGTGCTCTAATCAACAAAGAAATTGAGGAAAAAGAAAATATTGTCAGTGAGCCTCTGCTAAGTAAAAAATCAAGCTGGCAGAGTTGTTTGTCACTCAATATTTTATTATGACAAACAGTTGATAGGGAGATCATTCATGACCGATGGTCCTGTTAGTTTACTGAGTTGTTACAACAACATGGATGTAAATTAAAGATGAAAAAATTTCTCAGCCATTTTCTGAGTTTATTTGGATTACAGGTGACACAGTTGAGAAAAACAAACAAATAAGAACCAAAAAACTAAAATTAAGTAAATTGTGCATCACAAGTTTAGTGATGTCTTACTATAAAAATCTTTATATGAAAATGAAATTCAAAATAATGAAAAAAAAATATTAAATTTTAATAAATGTGTATATATTTATCATTCTTCTTATATTTGACGTGAATTAAACTACTATTGTCTGGCATCTATTCATGTATCTATTGTTCACTCTATGTCCTGACCCATGTACGGAGAACAATTTCAACATAATTCGACAAAAAAACAAAAAAGATGTTTGTTATCAAAAGACAATATTCATGATAAAAAATCTAATTGAAAAAATAAAAATAAAACAAAAACAGAACTCACTCTTCTTATATCCTGATCCTTCAGAAACTAAAATGCCATGAAATAGGACACAATCTTAATATATAAAAACTAATGCATTGGAATTTTAATGGAAACTCTAGTAGGAGGAAGTTCTTTAAATTTAAGATCTTATATATAAAATTATTCAAATTCTTTTTTTTTCAATCAATTAAAAATCTTATTATTATTAGAATAATCTTAATTAGTTGTCCATTGTTATTAGTTTATTTTAATTTTTTTATATAGAATTAAAATTTATTGATTTTTTAATATGAATGTGTATGATAGCAAACTATAATTTTTATGGAATTAAATTGCATGAATGAAATTTTCTCTCATCTTACATGAAAAAAAAAAATTGAAGTGCTTCCTCCACTTATTTAATTGAAAATAGAGCAGAAAAAATATATATTTCTTTTTATATAGACAGTAGTATACCTGGAACATATGTAAGTTTTACGATATGATATTAATACTATTTATGTATTTGATATTTTATTATTATTATTATTTATTCTTAGTTGATGAAAAGTAATATTACTAGGTATAATGTTTATTTAAAAAATTACAAGTTATGACGTTAAGGATATTATTTAAGTTATTATAATAAGTTAACTCCGTAATAAATTCATATCAACTTTAGAGTTAAATTGGAATAATTTCGTTAATCTACTTATTTTAATGGTAATTTAAAATAGTCCTTTTATAAACCATAATAATTCTAACCAGTTGAATTAATTATTTTTATTTTGATTAAAAAAATATTCTCATGTTTAACAGTAATAAAAGTTGTAACTCTCTTCGTATATCTATGCATCTTTTTCCATTTCTTGACACATAATTTATGAATTTCTATGTTAAATTAAATTTTCTTTATATTTTTTTGTAAGAGAAGGAAATAACTTTATAATTTATTTAATTATTTTATTTATTAACTAATTTTAAATATTTAAAAACAAAATATAAAATGCATTGCAAAAAGCCCAAGGCATAGCCTTTTCTTTATATATATAATTTGATTTTTGAGCAATTTCAGGCCTCGAGCTGTGGAGTAAAAATACGGGCAAGTTCAAGTTGAAGGCCTCAAACAGATCTAAATTGGCTTCACAGAGAAATGTTGAGCCACTTGATGCCACGTCACTACATTATCCACAACATGTTATCGAAAATTTGAGCTCTTTGACGACGTGGCACAACGCTCAATTCCATTCTCAAATCATGCATTGTGTCCTGTATTATATAGAAAGTTTCAATTTTTATTTTCTATGATTTATTAAAAATAAAAATCGTGTGGAAGGAATGGAGTGATGGAGATTTTCGAATGTGGGGTCTGAATCGCAGTCCACATGAACGAACCAAACCAAGAACACCAATTTTCCCACATCACTTTACTCTCTTTTTCCTTCTCCGTCGCTGTTTTTCTTTAAGCCTTGTGAAGAAGACAATGGTGGCCTGTGAAACATGAAGAGCAGCACTGTGTTATGCATCTTCAATGGCATGTCATTGTGCTTACAATGCCTTCTTATTTTCACCAACCAGAGAGTTCTTCACCACCAACCATATCATGTCCAAACCATCATCCACTAGATGCAGACCCTTTCTCTTGCCCATCACCAATGCTACACCATCCTACAACACCCTTGTTTCTGAGGTGCCCTTCTTTCTTTTTTAGTCTGTTAAGTCCTACCATTGTTTTGCATACAATGTTATCTGCCTGCAATCTGAATTTAGTAGCTAGCATAAGGGAAAGGCAGTTGTGTTTTTTTTAATTTTTTATGTATAAACTACATGTTTAATGTGACTAGTTTTGTAGGCTTTTAAGATCATGAATTTGCTTGTTTAATGTCTTATCTATGTGCTATTGCATTATCTCATGACAAAAGGGGTATTTTTATGGTTTCTTCTTTTAGTCTCTTGGTGCTATTTCGGCTTATAAATGTACCATTGAAATTTTAAAGGTTCATAATACCTTGTAACATGGGTATTCATGTCTTACCATATAATCATCCATCAATTGCTTGTTTCAAGAATATGGTCACGGAATATGTAGTTCAGATTAGACAAAAAGTATTAGCCTCTTCAAGCTTTTACATTCAGCAATGCGACTTAGCCTTGTTCCTTTGTAAGATTTATAGTTCTCCAAGATTTGTATATGGTTAACTCTGGATATGGGAGATGTACATCCATCCCCTTTTCCTTCAGGTACAGCCCTTTTTTCATTGTAAAATGTCCAGCTTCTTACTAATGTTTCCAGAACGTGAAAGGACTAACTTAATAACAGAATGACTTCTTCTAGATTAATAACCCAATTTAGGGACCTCTGAAGTTCATTTGGCTACATACACTTCGCCTCATTATGCTCTCGTTCCATTCTAGTTTTCTAAAAAGACAAAACTTAGATGCAATTCCTTAAGTGATTTTTAGTATTGCACTTCAATCAAAATTAGAGTTTCACCTCTGTAGTCTATACTGATGTTTAATTCAATCCTTTATCATTCAAATTACTAAGATGAAACTCTCGTTCCAATAGAAAAACACTGGACGTAAGTATTTAAGAAACTACTTCTTATGCGTCTAAGTTTTGTCTTTTCTAAAACAACAAATAATTTGGAATAAACTAATACTTCAAAAGTGACAATAATTTTTAAAGAAAGGGACGAAGCAAACCGGAACCCAACTCCCAAGACCCCTTCTTAATGATAAAGTAGGAAATTGAATTTCTTAGCCTGGATGCAAGAGAAAGTCCTCAAATCCTGATATGATTAATTTATTTGAATTTCTAATTACTAAAGTGTAAAATGTATATAATGATTTACTCTTGCTGTATTTAGGATTCCATTTTTTTACCTTAAAAGTCGTAGATACACCTTTTTGATGCCTATGGTTCACCAAACATTATATAAACAAAAAAGGAACAATGTGTTGAGTCTAGTATAGTGTGAGATATGATTTGATAAAAAAATTTATTGTACAGATTCCGACTGAGTGTGGTTTCACTTGATTGGGATGCCCTAAATCTGACATGTCTCTTGGGCTTAATAACATGAAGCTTATGCCCTGGACGGGATACCAAAGATCTTTGCCCTTCCATGCCTTCTATAGATAGATAGAGAAGAGGGACTGAGTTTTTGGTTTTTTCATATTGTCAATTGAACAATGAAAATGAATGATTAGTGCTTAATAGAGGTTCAAGTCTAACAGTGTATTTCACTAGCTAATCTGTCGATATATTAAGATTATTGCTGTCAAAGATTTTGACTTATATTGGCATGTTGCAATTGCATTCTATGACTATTGGATGTGTTACAATCATCACTAAATAATGGATAAACACCTTCAATGTGTGATCCGGCTTAAGGCTTCCACTACCACTTTACAAAATTTAGATTCCTTATTTTGATTCATGCACAAAACATATTTGGAATTGAATTCAGTTTAAGCTTACAACTTTTCATATAGCGATACAAAAGATTATTATTTTATTTGTTATAAGTTTCACTGGTATTCCTTGTAAGTTGTTTAAGAGGGTTTTTGTTTATTATTTAGGCTGTTAGGCTCTTGGTTCCAACAGCAAAATTTGAAGCTTCAAAACTGAAGGTTGTTCTATTGGAAGATCAGATAAACAAATATGCAAGTATTATTCCCAGAACCTACATTCTTTCCCATTGTGACTTTACAGCTAATCTGACTTTAGCGGTGTCCAATGTGATCCACCTAGAACAGGTTTGGTTTGTATTCTTATCATGATTGGCTTGGAAACTCGTGGCTAATGCGTGTTTTGAACAAGAACATTAGTTCTCTTAATTAATGGGTGTTTTGTGTATGTCATTCCCTCTGTGACTGGCAGTTGAGAGGGTGGTACGAGAAGGATGATGTTGTAGCTGAGTGGAAGAAAGTGCAGAATGAAATGTGCCTTCATGTTCATTGCTTTGTCAGTGGTCCCAATTCCTTTTCGGATCTGGCTGCTGAATTTAGATATCACATATTCTCCAAGGAAATGCCTCTGGTATGTTTGCATTTAACTTACAGATCACATCAAAACATAAAAGTCTGAAATCTAGGACTGATCTAATTATGATTCATGACAACCTCCTCAAAAACCTATGTACAAACGTGAACAGTTGCTTGCCATTGCTCAAAATGTATATAAAATCTAACAAAGGATATTTACAATTAAATCATTTGATAGGCTAAACTAACACGTTAATCTTGCATGTTGGTACAACTTGTGTTCTACTCTATCTGCTATATGCACAACTCGTTTCTTTAATTGAAATTAAATAACGAATTCTTGAATTTTGAGGAGGTTTTGCTTCCCGAAGGTCGTATTTATAACCTTGTATAAAGTTCTGAGCTCTTTTTATGCCATTTTCTCGCACTATTATTTACAAGGATGAGTCCCTCATTTTCCTAAGATGTGCTTTTGAGAGAGAAAAAATTATAGCCATGCCTATGCCGAAATATAACTTGAGTATGGCAGGTTCTCAAAGCAATTCATTTTGGAGATTCTGCACTTTTCCGTGAGCATCCCGAATTGCTGGATTCTATAGTTAGAGTGTATTTTCATTCCAGCTCACAAAATTACAACAGAATGGAATGTTGGGGACCTCTTAAGGATGCAATGGAGGTATTAAACTGAACAACGATTTTGGATTAGTAATTTTACTTCTTTGCTTATAATGCTTTTTGTCATTTTGGTCTCCATACAGAACAATTTTGCAACCATCAAGATTTCATTAATAATTTAATAAAGTTAATGAACATAATGTTCTAATAGTGCTTTTGACTAGTTTTCTATTAAGCAATGTTATTTGCTACCAATGTTTCATGACACAACCATTCATGTTTTGAGAACACATTCATAAAACATGTAGGATATTTTTCTTCTAATTATGTCTCTTCTTCGAATGCAGGGAAAACAAGCGGATAAGTTTCAAGGGTCAGTAAGAAGAGATAGTCCTGAAAAGTGGCGGAGCCCAAAGTCCATATTCCAAGCTCTTTTTGCTTTTCTTCTTTGAACTATATCAAATCAATAACTTGGATTATTATCTTTATCCCAATTCTTTTCACAGCTCAGAATTTCAGGTGGGCTAGACATAGCAAAATTCAGCTTGCAAGAATGAACTAATACCAAAACCAAACTATGTATCTTTGGAAGACCCAAAGCCGAAAGAAAAATGTAAAGTTACACAAAAGCAGAATTCTTATGCAACCATGGCAATTAATTTGCTTTTTCTGATTTCTGTGACTGGTTCCAATCTGCCAACTCACCTGACATGTCTGTGTTGCCTCTCTCTTGTTGTCAGCTCCCCAAAAGGTTATCATCATTTTCAAGATTAATTTTTTTGTTTAGTAGAGATTAAAAAAATATGAAATATTTGGTTTAAATAAACCATGCGTGTTAAATAATGTCTAAAATTTTCACAAATGAAAAATGGTACATAACATTGATCACGAAATTGAGTAAATTACATTAACCATGCATGAGGTTTTTATAAAGATACACAATTTTTTTGTTTACCTTTTTAACATTTGCATCGATAACGTACACATGTTAACAATGGGTTATAGTTCTAATATCAAGTTAAAAGTATTATTTAACATCATTTAGTTTTATTTATAAACTTTTTCGGACACAAAATAATTAAACTTTCTTTTGATATTTCATTCATCGTAACTTTGTGTCAAGAATAGAAAAATCGTTAAAACAATTTCAATTAATTTATATTTTAGACTTAAGAAACTTTTAACTTTTTTACATATATTCAGGTGTAGAAAAAGTGAATTATTTTCAAATAAGTTCTTTAAAATCTTTATACATAACAAATATTTATATCATAAAATAAATTATAAATAAGTATTTTTCAACAAATAGATGCTTGCATTATCATCTAAGAGGTGAAAATATTTGTATCAAACATTTTATAGAAGTTTCCCAACTATAACACAAACAAACATCCATTGTAAATCACTGTGTGGGGAATTTGATATGGCAGCAACCACCATGGGAAATTCTATAGTGGTGGTGACCGTACATTACTCACTCTGATCTTAATGAAGTAGACGATATAAACAATGTCCAAGAATCAATAAAACCCTCACTTGCAATAAATTAAGCTTGTACGAAAATAGTTGCTCTTGCATGAACCTTGCTGTTATCGGAAGTTTATAGCCATTACAAGCAAATTGTCACGAACTGCGAAGGTTCCTATTCTAACTTTATAGTTTATAAGCACACCTTGTGTTCATATATATACATGCATATATATCACTTGCTACGTCTCATACAAACTCAGTCTCACTCTCTCATAAGATAAACCAGGTTATCTGAATCTCATGGAAAAGAAAGTGGGAACGGAATCGGTGCATGGAAGAAGGAGCAACAAAAAAGACTCATTCCTTCCTAGTAAAGGAAGCATCAAGAGGAAAATATTCAACTTCATGTGTGGAAAGATAAAGCAACGCATTCTTGCTTACCTGGTCATCTCAACTTAGCAAGCCATTCTCCTTGTTTCTGAATTTTAAAAACGAAAAATACTACGTATGCATCATGATCTAGTACACATGATGCATGTATCCGCCAAACAGTACGTATTTAACTGCAACCTCTCATGGAACATGTATTATTTTGTCACTAAATAAATACGTTGGTTCTTATTTTCATGCATTTCAAATCAGAGTGGACGTACCATTTAATACTTTTATTTTAACATTATTTTTAATCTTTTAACTGCATATATGGTGTTGCCAAATTAAGTATGAGTTTATCACCATTCATGCATGTATCATAATTGTAAAGCCTGTAATGGAAATAAATGGGTTTTTATTTAAAGATAGATATACTGTACATTGATTGAAGCATTAAAACAAATATTTCTTTGGGAAATTGATGAAAAGGGAATGGAAACAGGACATTCTTAGCTTTAACGATGTTTGTCGGGGGCTGGATTATTGCAGTAGTACTAATCGTATTGTGCATGCGAATACGGTAGGAAGGTTCCTCCAGTCCAGTTCCAACTCCCAACAGTGCTATATCGAAAAATAATTGTTCTAAATTTGATGATTGTCCATGAAAAGGTGAAGGACACGAACATTTAACTTCATTTAGTGGGTGTTTGAGTAAACTTTCCGATCATCTGATCCCCCTTCAAAGCAGAACAACTACTTTGTAACTTCTTTTCATGTAAATTATACATAGCACGTGTGTATCACTATACGCCAAACCAAGCACGATATTATACAAATAAAATAAAAATTCCTCCAATAATTTTTTAAATTTGTTGGCCACCTCACAATAATGAATTAGTTCATTCATGAAGCATTCATGAAGCAAGATTATGTTGTCTAGTCCAGAGGTTGCACCTATGTCCTACTCCTTATCAAAATGTTTGCTGGATCTAGTGACTTTTCAGTTATAACTACTGAGTAAGAATAATTCTATAATTCCCATACAACTTTTCTCAATTCCCTGGGCAAAGAAGCAGACACTGATATGAAAGCACTATCCAGGTATTTGACAGTCACGGACTCCAACTGTTTACTGAATAATTATGTTCTTATCTTACGAGCTTTTGGGCTTGAACATTCCTTCAAAATTTGTCCACCATCAACTAGGATCTAAGCAGTTGGACTCCGCAGCTATGCATGAGCTTAAAATTGCCATGCAATAACCACTCACACCCTTTTCGAGACCAGCGAATTTAAAGATACACTTAAAAGAATCTGATATTGAAAACATAAGCCAACAAATTCAATATGAACAATATACATGGATATATGCAATAGATATAAAATACACGCATGATCAATTCATATCCGAAGGGTCCTAAACAACCACAAAACGGTCGTCTCAGTGATCTGAAGTAAAACGTAATAAGCAACATTCATAAACTGTACCAGCATAAGCAAAGTAAACACAATATATCAATATGACCTATTAGGTTTGGAAGATGACGAGGTTTTGGATTTTGCAAAATCAACAAGATCTTTGAAAAGGGCATCTTCTGGCTTCTGTTGTTTGGTTGGGGTGGATGAATTCAGGGAGAGATTTTGAGTTTGTCCCGCCAAGCTGTCATAAGAGGAACTGGATCCACTACTTGAATGAGATGCACCTTGCTGCTCAAAAAACTGTTGCCTCTGATTATACTTTGAAGGTGGGGGTGGAATGATGCCAGGAGATTGAGTGTCCGAGGGACCTGGAGGCAGACTCACTGAAGATCTGTCCACAGAAGATAGCTGTTCATCATACACCGGCTGGCTGCTAAAAATTGGTGAAGTACTCACGGCATGCGGCCGAGATGAAGAAAATGATGAGTTTGGATTAGGGCTAGAATGGACAGGAGCTGCAACTGAAGTGGGGTTCGAGTTTTGAGGAGATCCTTCTGCCTTGTAAGTATCACCGCTGAGATAGTCAACCATACCGGTGCCAGAGTAGACTGGCTTCTTTGATGCTGGCGGTGGGGGAATAAGTGGGTTTATCCTCCCTGGTTCTACCTTGTCATAGACTGATTTCCGATTCTGTACTAGAGTATCACGTGATGACCTGAAATCATGGTATTTAAATGTTTATGAAACTGAAAAGAAAGAGAAAAAGGCAAGGGAAATAGAGGATCTCATGTCATGGTTACAGGGGAGACATATATCAACTACAAAGGGTATCATATCAATTATATAATGATGTCAAGACTATCCTATGACTAGCCCACCCACCCCCCACCCCCAACAAAATTGTGCGCACTAAGAAAGATAAAGTAAACTACACAAGAACTTTTGGGGTTCACCTATGGGCTAGTTGAGTAAAATCTTCCTCTGATTCATCATCCTCATGGTTTACATTTACAAGTGGCAGAACTGAAGTTTCTACTTCTTTAGCACCTGAATCAGCAGTTCCTTTCACAATATCATCATGTTGACGGAGCACTCGCTGAAGGCTGTCATTCAGTGCCAATCCCTGGTTTAAAAGCTGCTCATCCCTGAAAGTAGTAACCATTACAGCCACTCTTTGTAATTGCACAAAAAGAGACTAAGTAATTGAAGGAAAAAAAATACTTACGTAGTATTGTTCACAAGAAGCATGACCCGCTTTTGGTATGAACGGCACTGGTCAACAAGGTCAACAATCACTTCCTCCTTCACACCCTGACATATTTTGTCCAAAATAATAAGCAACAAATGGATAATGACAACTTGCCACGAAAGTTTTGCATTGAACTGTAAATTTAATAGCACAACAAGCAAAAGCATTAAGTTTGAATTATATCCTAGTTCTGCACTTGCAAGGAATGCTTTCATAGATCCAGTCCTGTTCTGTACTATAATGCCCCAAACATTTCTCAGTTAGCTACTTTATAACCTCGGCTAAATAGAATGTGTATTAAGAACATCAGTTTAAGCAAGACTTAACAAATTATGAATTAAAACTGGAAAAGGGGAAGGGGCTAACAATAAGTGATCTGTTCAAAGCTATGAATGTACCCTGACAGCTTTCTCCTTCTTCTGGATGATAACTTACGCTTATTTCTATCCAATCACTACGAAACAAGTAACTTGATCTGGGCCTACTAAGTTTTGTAAATCATGAAAGATCTTGATATTGAGACTGGAAAATTTATACCTGCGGGCCAAGTTATAGAATGAAGGAAAAATAACAAGAAACCCTAGAGTCACACAAAAACATATTGGAGTCTGACCAAATTATGCACATATTGGAGTCTGTGAGAGCATAAGCGGGAAGGAATCCTTCTTAATGTCTCAACTTAATCAGAATATTTCTTATTCTCACAACCTACTTATTTGAATTTGCCGAAGGGAATCAAACCCAGATCCAGAATTCCATAGTACTAAACAACAACTAGCAGGATATGAAAAGATGGATACAGAAACTCAGCAACTTCAAAGCTCAAACCTATGCATACTTTCATAAACAAGAAAAACTGAACAGAGGTCCAGAATGAAGCCATTGGCAAAGGAACAAGAAATAATAATAATAATATCACCTCATGGTCGTAAAATATACATCTAGTTATAGAAAGAAGGGAGGGAGAATCATGCAAAAATGCCTAAATTCAAAATAAGAAACCAACCATTCACAATATCCATTACTATGGTAAATACCCAGTTAATTTCCTTGCACAATGTGAAATGTACAATAACAATGTTAACTAACCTCACCCCACAAAACAAAAATCAAGGATTAGAACATTATGAACATGATAAATTTTAAAGAGCACCTAAGGCCAGATGCATCTGACTGGAGAGAAGCCTGAATAGTAGCATCATTATATTCTTCAGCAGAATGAGCAATTGGCTGAGTTTGAGGAGTACAGAATGGTACGCTATTCTCATCTCTTGGTGGAAATTCAACTCCAGCAGACTGTTAATTATCAAAAGCATTACATTAATTTAGAATAATGAATTTGAAATATTATTAGTGTGCGTAAAGATATATTAGAATTGAATAGTAATTTCTTATATTTTATTAATTACATATGAGAACGCATTTGAGAATACGTCTGCGTATGTATTTGAGGTGAGATTTCCAAGATTGGAAACTGAATAATGCAAGCTCACAGTTGGATGCAGCTCATGTAACAATGTAACTCATTTACCCACTAAATAAAAATACTAGAAAAAACAATGATGACCTAAGGCTAATTTGACCCTGGATAAATAAAGCAACTATAAATAATATGTTACAGACAGGAAGAAAAGAATAACATGACTCAAGTATGAAAGAATTTCAAATTTGTAACAGTACAAACATACGGCAACTGAGACGTATATTCATTATGCATATCATTTAACAGTACAATTATTGCTTGCAAAGCATAAACTAATTTCAGAAAGTAATATCTAGATGGAGAAGAGCTCACCTTCAAATTCATTATCCGCTGCATAATATTGAGGATAAACTCCAGTTGGCCCCCAAAAGCTTCTTGCCATGTATCAATTAAAATCAATATCTTTTCCCTCACATTTAAATCCGGCTGTAAAAGAAGACAGCAATGGATAAGAAAGTATCCCATTTCCAAAATACAAAAATACAATGGCAGAAGGAACATTTAAAACGAAATATAAAGTGTCAAAACCAATAAATACCTTCTTCTTCACAATCTTAACCATTTCATGTAAGATATCTCGTTCAATTATCTTCTGAAATACAGTTTCACCACAACTTTTACTGAGGGTCTCCCAGTACCTAGATAAAATATAAAGCACCCAAGTCAGGTGATCATTGCTTTTTGATGTATTTTACAACTAATCTCTTTTATGATGGAAGAATAAAAATTTATAATCATGAGAACCTTTGCATAACGTACCTTTAAAAAGTGTAAAAATATAGTAATAACCCAACACATATTTAACACATTATATCCAAGTAAAAGAAATATTCACAATTATCCAAAAGTAAAAGAACAGAAATACTGACAAAAAGTGCCAGAAGCTGTATTTTTGGATTTTTACTGCCCAATCGCTTCTTGATTATCTTCAATGCATCCTTTGCTTGCCTGTAAAATTTAATTAGTTACAACGCAGAAGAGCTAAGAAAGGAATAGCAATGAGAAATCAAAATAACAAACAATCATATCAATTACATACTTGAGATCCAAAACTAAAATGCAGGATTCATTCCCCTAGTTTTGAATGAAACAACATAATGTCCACAATATTCAAATTGATAAAATTTGTACCTGTATTCAAGTGAACTTTATTGCTGACTGTGATAATGTGTTTCTCCATAATACTATGACAGCAAAAGAACGTCACATCAATAGAAAAATGATAACAGAAGACTCAAATGCATTGATTTGAAAACAAAGGTGGCATTAATTTGAAATTAAAGGTACCAAAAGTGTGATTAAGCCATCAAAGTACAACAGGATGAACTGAATATCAGAATTAAGACGGTTCACCATTGTCTTCTATGTGATAAGAACTTACTACAACTAAACCTCTTCCTTGCGTTGCCTTTGCTAGCTTCCGATTTCAATATTTCAACCAAATTTGAATTCATTGAGGGGTTCAATTCATGCATCATTTCCAATCTCTGCAGAGACATAGAACTCAATAATTGGTAATTGACTGTTCGATCAATATGCAATTATATGCTAACTGAAACACTAGCAATCAATACACCTCATACAACTAGACAAGAAATACAAAATATTGAAGATCCCACTAATTGTCATGCAGAGATAGTTTCCTTCAAGTGAACTGAATCAATTGGTAGTTTCAAATTTAAATTAGTACCTTAATATTCTGGTGAACGTCTTGTCTCAAAACAGCCGTCGTTGGACCTATCTTATATGCAAGAGAGCATCAATCAAGCTTAATGACAATGTGTTTGGTGTTACATCACATTCATGTTTTCAAATTAAAACAAGCTAATAAACCCACCAAGAACTTGTAGAACCATGTAGCACAGAGATAGGAAAGGCTTGGTGGGGATGTGTGCAGTCTCATGATTTCCTCTAGGTTTGACTATAGCCAGCAAGGACAGCTCTTCAATGGCAGAGTTTATCTCTGATCTCTTCTCCATATCTCTGCTCCTCTTCATTCTTCTTATTATCTTCCCTCCCTCTCCCTCTTCCACTTCTCTGATGTACAAACATGAAACTTATCTATGTAGCTTCCAATACCCAACTTGGCTTCTCTATTAATACCTCTAGCTAGCTAGCTTGAAGCCTTGAACTTCAAACAGTAATTAATTGATTGAAATATAAATATTACACTTGCTCCCCGATAGAGAAAGAGAAAGAGTAACAGAAATTTCAAAATTTTGATCAAGTGGTTGAACGAAGGAGTGAATCTTGCTTTGCTCACCGTGACAATTATTTAATTGTTCTACGCATCTGGTAAAACAGCTAGTTTGGCTTCGACTTCTATTTTGTTATTATTGATTTGTTAATAATATTCTTATGCCATTAGTTTCCTCTATAAGTCATTGATGGTGACTTTATATTTGACCTTGTAGTTATCATCAATCCCTCCCTTACCTTGTAGGGAATTTGTTCAGTTATACATTTATTTTCAAGGTAGAACATATGAAACACCCCCCGAAAATAAGCAAATTAATCCTATTAAACAATTACTTCTCAGCTCTTTGCTTTAAAGAGTGGAGATTGTCCTTTCTCTTTGCCCATGCTTCTTATAACTTGAAAAATAAACTTCTCCTCGTTAACCTTAAAGCTTGCAACATGCCAGAAAAATAGACACCATGGTCGTTTTGTTTCAGCAAAAGTAGAGAATGTCCTCGCTGCAACTGAAGAAACCATTTTCCTTTTGGCAGCACATCCAGGTATGAATCTGATGATCATCATTACATATCATTCATATTTCACTGCAAGTCTTTGGCATCTGACTAATTGCCTTTATGACAACACAAAGATGTCGCTACTACAATGCACGGTGCCCTACGGTTAAAATTAGTTAATATTTAAATTCATTAATTTTTTCTGTGACCCATTCTCCCAATCTTGCCCACTCATTTTTCTGACAAACATCAAGAACTCTCTTCAACATAGGAAGGGTGGGGTCAATGGTCATTGTCCTCATAAAATTGTCGAGGTCATGCATGTATCCATGCCGACTGTAGAGTTCAATCATGCAGTCATAATGCTCCAGCCGAGGTAGGACTTGGAATCTACTGCTCATTGAGTCGAAGCATTCTGTGCCAAACTCAACTAGGCCTTCTTCAATGCAAGCAAGCAGAATGCCCTTTAAGGTCACATGGTCTGGCTTGATGCCTTCTGTTTGCATAATCACAAAAAGTTCAAGCGCTTCTTTACCCCTATGATTGTGACAACATCCCAAAATTATGGTATTCCAAATTATCACATCCCTACAAACTGCCCCCTTCAGAACCTCAATAGCGTACTCGAGACAATGACATTTACCGTACATGTAAACCAAAGCAGTTCTGATTATAGTATCTATGTGAAATCCATGTCTAATGATGAACCCATGAATTTGTTTGCCATGGTAAAGAGAAAAGGTATTTGCACATGCTAACAAAAGGGTTCCAAGTGTATATTTGGTTGGTTTTGTCTCCCACTGCATCTCTGAAAACATTGATAAAGCCTGTTTACTTAACTGATGATGGCCATAGCTAGCCAACAAAGCATTCCAAGAAACCCTGTCACGCCAATTACTCATCTGGTTAAACCAAACCCTAGCGCTGTTCAAGTTTCCACATTTACCATACATATCAACAAGGGCATTGCTAACCCTAATGTCCAAGTGGAAGCCATGTCTATAGATGTATCCATGAATCTGTTTCCCCATTTCATGATCCGAAATGGCTGCAGAAACATTTAACATCAAACCAAGAGAGACATGATCCACATATTTAATCTTATCAAGCATGAGATACACAAAATCTAACGCCTCAGACCAATCAAACCACCGAACATATCCTGCTAACATTGCATTCCATGAGATGACATTCCGTTGAGGCATCTCATCAAAAAGCTTTCTTGCCTCCGATATTTTCCCACTCATTGTATACGCCGATACCATAGAAGTCCAAGATACCAAATCTCTCGAGCCAAGTAGATCAAAAACCCGAGAACCATCCTCCAGCCTGTCACACTTGACGTACATGTTCACAAGCGAACTCGAAATGACGTTATCTTCTTGGAGGCCCAACTTCACAACCACCCCATGAATCTGCTTCCCCTCATGGAGCGCAGACAGGCTGGAACAAGCAACAAGAGCATTAGAGAAAGTAAAATTCATCGGCTGAACCGCAGCGGAAAACATCCGCGAGAACATGAAAATTGATTCCTTTGCATCACCTGCATCAAGATAACGCCTCACAATCACATTCCAAGTGACAGCATTAGGCTGCGGAATCTCATGAAATATCCTGCGAGCATCAATCATAACCCCGCACCTGGCATACACATCAACAAGTGAACTCCCAAGGATCACATTGCCACAAAAGCCAAACTTTGTGACCAACCCATGAACCTGCTTGGAAAGAAGAAGTTCAAAAGTAGCAGCACAAGAGGCAAGAACGCTAGCAAAAGTAACCTCAGTGGGGAAAACACCGGACCTAGTCATACACGTGAACAAAGAAAAAGCCTTGTCAGGGAAACCCAACTGGGAGTAAGCAGTAATGAGGGCGTTCCACGTGCCGCCATCTCGTCGGGGCATTTCGTCGAACAGTTCGCGGGCGTCGCGGAGACAGTGGCATTTGGCGTAGGACTCGATGGCGCGGTTGAGGAGAAAGGTGGGCGGGTTGGGGGAGAAGGTGAGCAAGTGGGACTCGACCTTGCGAGCCTCGACGATGGTGCGGTGGGAGGAACATAGGCGGAAGAAAAGGGTGTAGAGAGAGTACGGGAAGGGTTTGGGGAAGGCGAAGAGAATGGAAGTGGCTTTTCGAATGCGTCCCGCTTTGAGGTAAGTGAGGATTGTTTTGATCACTGCGTTTGTTTGGGGTTGTTGCTGTGGGTTCAGGTTTTGCTTGCGGAGGAGCTGGTTCAGTATAGAAGCGGCACGCACACCCATGCAACACGATTATCAACAATCGCGGCTTCACTGGGAAACCTTTCGAAGATGGAACCCCCAATGGGATTCGCGTGGCGGGCACATCGAACCCGTTGAAGCCGATGTTGGTGCCTCGCGTTGCAAAGAGTGGTGGAAATGCGAGTGGGGCTTCTCTCAAATTGCCATCGCCCGCGTCCTATTTGGATATTTACGGGGATTTGATTAGGCAGAAAGAGGGGATTTGATTGGGAACTTGTTGCCCAAAAGTGTTCAAACCAAGACTAAGCTTGATTGTATCTCAAAACTCATTGAGCTCGGAAATTAATAGTGCTATAATGACATCGTGAACAATGCAAAACAAGTTCAATCATCCTCATCTGACAACCAAGAAATTTCAAAGATAAATGATCAACCTCCTGAGCTTACAAATGAAAATGAGCAGAATGGAGATGCTATGAAGGAAAGTCAAGACAGCGTGTTGCTCCCTGTCAGATTCCACCAGTTCACTAATGAATCAGGTATAGGCTTTAACGCTGCGTGTAAGAGCCGCCACTGCAACTGCTCTTGGAGCTGCTGCTGCTCGAGCAAAATTGTTTGGCAGACCAGGAAGTCAGAGAGATTGAACACTTAGCAGCAACTAACAATCGCTTTCCTTTTACCTAATGGAGATATACGTGATAGGGATTAGAAAGGTGACTGTGCAAACAATCGATGGTTTGATCTATATCCTGGTTGTGGTGTTCTTTCTAAGCAACAATCTTTCAAGAGAAGTGAAGTGGGCGAACGATAAGAAGAGTGACTTTCTCTCTTTGCTCTCCGTAATAGAATATGATTGATTAAGGAAACCCCTGCTTCTTAGGGGAAGGTATAATCCCAGGGAAGAGATATGAGGCTCTCGACCGATAGGGAGAGGAGGAAGGATTTGCTTTTGAATCTAGTTTAGTTGCAAGCGTAAGGGAAAGTCACAACTCCATATCTAGGTGTTTCTACTGGAATTTCGATGGATTTCGAATCCTAAGAAATTTTGATCCTAATAAAAATTCTACTATGTAAGTTCTTTTTACTTAGGCTAGTAAATTAATTTTCAATCGAAATGCATATGAGGATCGAATTTTACCCGATTTCAAAGCTGTTATTTTTGATATTTTATATGTAAAGTGCTCAAAGTAAAGATAGCAATAAAAAGTGTCAAATCGAAAAGCAGAAATGGAAAATTTAATTGTTAAGAGATAAAACTGCGGAAACCTCCAATTTGCATTAAAATATAAATGACAGGAAATCGAAATTGCATAAAGTAAATAACCCAGAAATCGAAATATGCGGCAATATAAATGACAGGGAAATTGGAACAGCAGAGATGTAAATAACAGGAAATCAAATTTGCAAGAAATGTAAATGACAGGAAATTGAAATTGCATAAAGTAAATAACCCAAAAATCGAAATATGCAGCAATGTAAATGACAGGGAAATTGAAACAGCAGATATGTAAATAACAGGAAATCAAATTTGCAAGAAATGTAAATGACAGAAAATCGAAATTGCACAAAGTAAATAACCCAGAAATCGAAATATGCGGCAATGTAAATGACAGGGAAATTGAAACAGCAGAGATATAAATAACAGGAAATTAAATTTGCAGGAAATGTAAATAACAAGGAAACTTAAATTCGGAAACTTAACTTTCATTGAATCGACATAACTAAAATCGAAAATACAGAAACATAAAATTACTAAAGATAAATTGCATCAAAGTAAATTACCAAGGAAAATACAGAAAACGGTAAATGTACTCAATGAGCAAGGAAATCCAGATTGCCAGAAACTTCATGATGTTCGTCGTTTCTCCGGTAGACTTCTCACTAATGATTCTGTTCTCTGCCAATTTTCTGCCCTCTTATTCCTTCCTCCTTTGCTCTATTTATAGGGTATCATTCAAACCTTCCAGGAGCAGTTAACAAAACTGCTACCACGTTCTTCGTGCGTGTTGCGGTTTATCTTCTATGGTTTCAATGTTGTACCCACGTTCTCACGATCTTCAACTTCTACCATGGTTTAGAAACTGCTTCCAGTATATGCGCTTGACTGTTCTCCCCTTCACAATTTGGCCGGGGTTTCGATATCCACGTGAGTTAGCCTTCTCCTCGACTTCGATTTTATCGAGAACTTGGTATTACTTTTGGTTTCTTTTAGCCTTAACATCATATATCTCTAATTTCTTGGTTTTGTGTGCCACGCCCTTCCAATTAGACATCGAATGATTTCTCATTCACCTCTTCGTGTTATCGATCAATCACATGTTTCTCGATTTTTATTTCTTTCATTTTTCGATCGTTTTTCTCGATTTCCTCCTAACAAAATGCCCCCTTGGAATAATATAAATAGTTTCTGTTTATATTCTTTCAACGATTCCCGCCTTAGTGTTTGGAGGCCCACAGAACTTAGGGTTTAGGGTTTCTGGGGTTCTAGGGTTTTGGGTTTCTTTTTTTGTTTTATGTCGCTGTTTCGTCAGTCGGCTGCCTTACAGTACAAGCCACATTAATTGCTTTTCGCTTCCGTCGTTTCCAGCTCCCTAGGTGATTTTCCTTTTAACCTCTCCATTGGTCTTTCTCTGGTTTTTACGCGAATCTTTTACCTCTTTGCAACTTCGTCTTCTTCCTTGAGCTCTTGCCTTCGTCCTTGCTACCCCACCTTTTAACCTCTCTCCTTCTGTTTTCCTAAGTTTATTGAAATGGCAACTTCGTCCAAGTCTTCTGATTTTTCGGCTCCACCTCTTCCTTCGCTGACGGTTAACCTTCTGGAGATCAATAACCAAAAGTTTGCTCCAGTCCCTCTTATGGAAGAAGCTTCTCAGAAAGTCGCTGAGACGCAGGTACTCATTCCTTACACTGCTGATGGTGTTAATTTTGGTTTTGGGGGTCCTATTCGTTCTAGTAGTGAGATTTTTTCTTCCTCCACCCTCTCGAATAGCCCAGCACTTATTCATCACCCTGAAGTTCGGATTAATTTTTTGAATATGGTCTCGAGAGTATACCGAACGGGTCCTCCTTCCAAAAAACCTTCGTTTATTAGGTGGTTTGATAGAATAGAAGCCAAGTTTGGGAACCACTGGAGAGATGTAGGGATTTTTGATTTTTTACACCTATCTCGATGCGACTTGTCGTTTTTGGATATGACAATGTTTTTGTCTGCGGTGCATTTGTGGAATAAGGAATTACATGCTTTGGAGTTGCCCTGTGGTCCTCTTTCACCTACTCTCTTTGAGGTTGCTGCTATAACCGGACTAAAAGCCACTGGGGAAAAGTATTATAAGGGTGCTTACCCTTCGGATAATTCTTTGAGGTCTAAAATCGATTGGGAATCGAAGGCCTATGGACATTTCCTGGAGAAGCATTTCGTCGATGACGAATCGATAACTGTGACTGACAAAGAACATATAGCCTTTTTGGTATATTGGCTATGTACCCATGTTTTTTGCCCCCGATCCATCCAAATTTCCTCCCACCTCTACAACCTTGCCTACCTTCTCCATACTGGCCGACCTAGGATATGTTTGGCTAAACTATTGCTGGCCCACGTGTATACTGCTTTTGACGAAGCTGTCGAAATTTTGGGTACTCCTAAAGCATCGGGAAATTTCTCTGGCCCTATTTGGTTTGTACAGTTATGGCTGAACTCGATTTTTGAGAGCATCCTTCCCCCAACTTCCACTATCCCTCCAAGTGTAAATATCGAAGGTGCTCGATTGTCTTCTCGCCACCCTCACCATAAGCCTGACGAAGCGGTTTACTATAAATATCTTAAGTTTTTGCTAACTAGATTTAATTTTGATTCAACTTTGGCCCCCTTTACCGTGCATCTTGGACGGATCAGCGACCAACTTCGAGGGCCAGTTTGGTTTAAGTCAAAATTCCCTTCCTTAACTCCTGGGTTGCAATCGGAGTTGGTTGATGTATGGAGTAATTATTTGACCCATGATGTATTAGTATCGGGTTTTCAGTCCAAAGATTTTAAGCTCATCACCTATTACCCCCAACTTTTCTCGAGACAATTTGGTCTGAGCCAATCCATACCTTTTTTCCCCCTTGATACCTCCCCAAGGTCCAAGTTAAGTGAATCGACAATCGGACGGGAGCTGACCAAACTATTACCACAAACTCCACTACTTTTTTATCCCTATGTTTTCGAATCGAATTATTTATCCACTGTGGGTTTCTCTCAATGGTGGGCTGATTGGTTCTCGAATAATCATTCTACTTTTGACGAAGTCCGACAAAAATTGACTGTTCATCCTTCTCTTGTATTGCAGGACAAATCGAAAGCGAAGAAAGGTACACACTTCCATTGTCTTCAAATATCTCGATTCAAGAATTTTTATCAAATATGTTACAACCCACTGAAATTAGAATCGACCTTTTATGATGATGTTATCTCCTTATCCAATAAAACAGACACTAATCGATCGAACCACAAAATAATCAATCCTCTAGGTAGAACCCCTTTTGAAATGTATTGCCCAGATCGTCTTCCTACTTTTCCCACAGCTCCTTTTGGACTTGTCAAACCTTTAACTCATCCCAAATGGGTTCGAGAATTGAGATCCCTAAGGGAAACAATTCGCCCAAAACCTAAAAACAAAAATATTTCTGTATCAAAATTATCTTATTTCCCTTACCTCCATCTCTCTCAAATTCTCCTGCCTTCCTGGCTTGTACATATCGATCGAGTCACGATTTTGACTCCATCACCTTTTGGTGAGATTTTACTGCTTTTTCATGTTTTTTTGATTTTGTATATTGTAAGCTAATCTGTCTTCTTTTATTAACAGTTTCGAAGTCCTCCAAGGTCGTCGCTGTCGAGAAAGAGAAGGAGAAGAACCAAGAGGACTGGGAATCCTCAGATGAGTCAGACCCATCAGCCCTTATCAGAAAACGCAAACGTTCGGCCACCATTTCTTCATCGTCGAAAAAATCGAAGGTTCTTTTCGATTTCTCATTGTGTTATTTATTTCTGTCTATGGTTGATCCACTTTGGATTCTTATACCTAGTTCTTTTCGATTTCTACTTTTCAGAAAAAATCGAAGAGTCCTCGATCCGTCCAACCAACTGCTAATGATCCGTTATCGACGGATTGTAATACGGTCATACAGGCGGGCCAGATAACACCCACCACACATTCAAGTCACGTGAGTCCCTCCTCTTTTATACGATTTTTATATCCTTAAATTTCAATAATACTTATGACTTGACATTTCGATATTTTTCCAGGATCATCCATCGGGGACTATATCGACAAATGTCGATTCTCAGGTTTTACCACCAATACCCCTTCCCGAGGTACGACTCTTATATAGTTTTGTATGTTCGTTTGACTTTTTATACATTTCCTTTTCTGATATTTGCTTTCGATTTACAGCAACCTGAGGTTGTACAGACTCTTCCTCCTGCCTCAGCATTCCTTGCTCTACCTCCCCCTGGTATCTAGACTTTTCCTTCACTATGTTAATTTTTCATTTCATTCTTTATTATGAACTCTAAATTTACCATTTCGATTTCTTTCTTTTCAGTAAATATCCCGATAGTCCATGTTCAGGACTCTCCTCCAACTTCTGCAGAGCAACAGGA